CTGCTATTTGGTGGACACCATGGAGTGATAATCCTCTTTCCTAATTTTTTCCTTTAATCATTTAATTTTTACCAATGGAATTGATAATTAGCTTCCGAATGGACCCATCAGACTTGCAATTGAGAACAAAAATTATAAGTTATCAATCTTCGTCCATCTAGTAGGAACAATTCAATTGTTACAGAGAATAATGAATATTCTCGAGGTTATATGAGCTATTTCCTATACATTAGGACCTCAGAAAAAAAAATCACCATGGATTGTGGAGATATCGATGAACGCATTTATGAAACTTACGATGATTTTACAGCTATGTATCAAATAGTCTGAGTATTTCAATAATTTCATAAATATTAATATTTCCAGATTAATAACTTTCCGATAATTGAATACAACCATACTTTCATTACATTTGTTGACTGATACCACCACATGACTGCATATTTTATCCCTGCAAATGTCATTCGTCAGGCTGTTTAGAAAAATATATTTATTTATAACAATTACTAACATGAACTTTTACAAAAAAATAAATTTTTTAACCTCCACTCAATCGATTGCACCCATCCGACGTGTGATCTTTCAATATCATAAAAGCTCATACCAAATTTCAACTTGCTCTGCCAATTTTTGAGCAAATTATTGAGTATGGAATATGGACAATATTAAACGAGCTAAAACCACATAATTTAAAAGTTGAGTTTTTAGCCACAAACTTGACCGTATCTATGTGGAATTGTCTCAAAATCGATTAAAAATATAGAAAATTTTTCACCACTGCAGGGAAGAACACGAAATTAGAAAAATCGCAAAAATTACTCGTATTTTACAACCTGAAATTCGTACTTTCATTTTCACACACGTAATTTAAACACGTATTTTAACTTTTTACAAAAAAAAACAACTAAAAATTACGCAGCCTGGCAAAAAAAATGGAACAGTTTCGTACAAATTATCGCAATCACTTTTCGATCTGAAATTACGAAAAAATTACTTAATTGTCATTAAATATTTCTTTTCATGTCCATTACATTACAAAGTCTTACTAAGTATTGCTCTAAATATGGCTATGATTGTGATGGAATATCATAATTGTTATTAAGAGGCAAAATGAATAGATGTGCATCCAAATAATTTTCGTCTAATATGTTTTCAAGCTGAATAATGAAAAAATTTCCAACAAACCCCCAATTCTCACCAATGTCTATCCTGATTATCATTGCTACGTTTTATTTTAATATTCTACAGTTCATCAATTTCGAACAATAATCTTTGGTATTTATCATATATCCACTGAATAGTTCAGTAACAAGAAATCAATTGATCAAAGACTTGCAGTCTTTTGATAGACGAATTTGATTCTTAATTAATATGCAAAGGGGACTTAATGTCAACAACTCCATTCAACATGACCGTTGATGCAAATTGAAGATATTCGTTTCCCATCCTCTTTTCCGTCATGATTTGGGTATTACAAATAATAATATACCCACCATTAAACCACTCAATCAATAAGAAATGCATAATATACAACGTATATTTTAACATTTGTGAAAACATTGTTACGGTTAAATGGAACGACTTCTCTTTTGGGTGGAATGCAACACCACGGTGTGAGGTCTTCAAGCCCGTGTAGATTCACGGATCGTAAATAATTCTGTACAGATGGGCGTCGCGCGAACTTGTGAAGGAAACGAACGATCAGATTTAAAAAAGGTGGACTAGTAACGTAATGGAGAGGATGACAAAAATGAATGCTAAGAAGTAATGGCGATAAGTACCATGTGAATGTACATTAACGACGTGTCCAGCGATGTAAAAAATGTACATAAGCGATTTTGTCGTTTCCTGTGGTGCTCATTAATAATTGAGAGTGAGATCGTTTAGTTTGAAGTAAAGCATTCGAAGTGATACATCGGGCATACAAAATGCTTTACCACGTGACGATGTCACTTGGACATTCTCTTGAAGATGCGTCAATGTTCAGAGAATTATTTTGGAGAGAAAGGTTTCTTTTTTCGGTCGTCGAATCCAAAGAGCAACCTCTTTATACTGGGATATTCGTTTTTTTATATCTTATCAAATCTAATATCTATCAAAAATATCATCCATTATTGTACATCCTTATTCATTATTGTAAACTATATGATAGAAATATCAAAAAATTTTCCGCGATTCTGCACCCTGTGGGATATTAAATTTCATACAATTATCCGATTATATCCTAAATTTGTTTGCACTTTCCAGCCCAATTACTGAAAAATTCTTCCCGTAGCATGATGGCATTTGACCTTCTGTCCCAATTATAGTTTAATATTCAACGGTAGTACAGATGTAAAAGGCTGCGAAATCACGACAAAATTATTCCACATTTCTGCGGTTACTTATTTCGATAGAAATTTTTACTTAAGAATATGTTTTACACCCTGTCCGCCAAATCTCATTTTTTTTTCATTTTTATGGTAAACTAACCGTGAGATTCGCGTGAAAAAATATACCGTTTTTTGCGGTTTGTCATTATTTAATGCCTCAAGAAGTCGTAAGGTGGTGCAACCATTTTCCTGGGTTTTTCTAAATATTAAAAAGAATTACAAAACTATTAAAAAAATAGTATGACGATACTCAGACTTCCATCAAACTCCGTGATCCATTAAATAATTAAAAAAACTATAAAAACTAACTTCTATGTTAACCCATGGATAATTTGCCAGAATTTTTTTTTTTTAAACATGAATTTTCACTGACGAGGTTTTGGACATCCTTAAAAGAATAATTTTTCCCATAATTGTGACGCGATATCATACGAAGTTGACAAAATAGTGTATTCGCAAAGTTTCGGTTTCATTGAAGTAGAAAACGGGAAGACGTTGAGAATGACACGAGAGTATAATGTGGTGCCTCGGATGGTCCGAAACGAGTGAGAGTACTGCGTAAAATTTATTTTTCGTCTATTAATAGCTAATCTGGCGTGGCGCCACTATTTTCGGTTTCTGTCTCTCAAATTTCTCACACCATATTTGGAATTATGGTAGTCGAAAACACAGTTTAGTATTACAGGAGAACTTTAATAGAAAAATACCCCCGTACGAGCGCATCATTGAATTACTCTAATTTCTTCAGCGTTGAGGAGCAAAATCAGACCCCGAGTACAATCTACTATCTAATCTACTTCTATGGACTGTAATGAAAACCACTAATGGACGACAAAGACTAAATATATTGTATTTTTCTATTGACATATTTTTTCTATTGAAATCGTTAAATTTCTAAACAGGAATACAAATATAGCGGCGATCCTAAAACCACTTGCTGGACGAAGAAATTCACACACATGTATATGGGCTGCGGCATATTGAATAGGTATACGAAATAAACTGCAGGGTCGACAGTTGTGACTTCATATAGAAACCAATTGAAAAATTTTCACTCAAATTGACACTCAAACGTCATTTAGGTATTGATCGATGCAGACAAGTTCATGAGGAACGTGCAGAAAAAATATAAATGAAAGGGTAGAACAGATGCTATTTGAGTACTATTAATTAAATGTCACGGTTATCTAAAGCATAGGCCGCATTGATGCAATAAGTATAATAATTTTTCAAAGTTCGTAATTTTTATCTGCAGTAAGCGACTGCAGATATTTGTTCATCAGAAATAGTTAACTGGATTGCTATGTGATGGATTTTCATTTGAAAATACGAAGGAAATGAGAGGTAAAGAATTTCCTTTTTTCAACTTTTTTTGAAAGTTTTCTCCTCTTATTGAAAATTTAATGGAAAAATGCACTTGATTCATGAATTGAAAAAAATAAATGATTTTTGTAATTTATTTCGAGTTTTTTACCTGTAACGGGAAAAAGACTTTCTGGCACCATGTACACATTGATAATATAATTTGAATATTGAGCAGGAATGCATCACATAATCACAGAATTCACTAAATAAAGAGTTGACGAATTTAAAGTGGAACGGTTCGCAATGTTTTGGCACTAAATATCGAATACACCACCAAGAGAAGGAACCCCGGTGGACGTGGACGCTATGGCACTGAGACGGGGTCGGAGCGGCGATGGTTAGAGCGGGGGCGCGCACGTTAACACGTACATTCTCGATTTGGGCGGATGGAAATCTGAGATTGCTCCATATCAGGCCGTGTGCCCGTCGTCTGGCAAACGTGCGTTACTTCTCTTCACACATTAGTTTTTATAACTCTGTTTCACTTAGCTAAGTTGAGTCTGTAATATGGGGATCTCGCTTAGGTTTTCCTCTGTTTTTGCTCACTACACTGTAACACGTCACTGCTGTGTGTGATGCCACCATCCAAAGGTATATTTAACCTTGAGGAGCCAATGGAAAAAGCTACATCGAATTGTAAGGCATTCTGGAGTGGCTTTACTCTTAAAGTGATTCGCCCAATGCACAATTAATTTTAGAACCATTTATTTAAAACAATACAGAATGTTATGAAATGTGAAAATATAACGTTTCGAGTAGACGTGTGTGCGGCTGTGCCAATTTTCAAAAAAAGCTCGCTGCGATATCTATATAATATAATAAACAAACAGATATATATGAGGTATTCTGAGTGAACTCAACGAACTTCAAACCTTACCCTTCGATTGTATCACTGATTTCTCCCCACTATGTACACGACATTCGATGATTATTCAATTTTTTTCAGATTTTTTGACAATACCAGGAACTCCACATGATTTTTTTCAGTTTCCCAGCTTTTAAAAGCATAACTTCCGAAAGTATTAAATGATTTAGACATTTTTTTTTTAAATTTTGGCTTTTTTAAGAGTAAAAAATCCGGCATTTGCAGACTTGGCTACGATTTTTTACACTTTTATAATGATATTATATTGTACGTCTCATTCTCAATGATGGTATTGTAGTCATGCTTGTTATGCTTAGGTATCACAACGTTTAACGTATAGGTTTTGAATTTTTGGCGCTCTCAGCTCTCCGGCGTCACCCTCTTACCTACATATTGTTTCGTTGTGCCGAAGCATCATAACGTTTTTTCGTATAAAAATAAAATTCATCAACTTTATTATTTAAGTTCGCGTAAAAATGTCCAAACACAACGATAGGAAAAGAAGATCCAGACCAGAGTCAAGTGGAGAGGATCGACCAAAACGGATAAAAGGGGATAAATTCGAAAAAATACAACAACAAGTTGATAACCTCACAAAGATAGTTCAATCACTTGTGGAGGTCCAAAAGGAAAAGAACTCCCCAGCCAAAATCAAAGGAAAAGATATACAAGATGAAACTCTAGTAATTGGTAAGTAAATTAGGAACATTAAATATCAATATTTCCCACACGACAAAGAGCTAATGTGAACAAGTTCAACAAGAACATAACATCCACAATCCACACAACAAGTGTACACTCATTAAAATTCTTCCTCTATTTGTAACATTCCAGATGAACTGGAAGATAAAGAGAATAACTCGAACAATATAATCACAATAGACGATGAAGAAACAACAATAAATGAGAATGCCTTAAAAGTTCTAGAACTAGATTCAGATGAATTCACTTACAAAAAAGCAAAGTATCACCCAGAACTTATGAAGACATGGCTTAAGTGGAAGAATGAGAGAATACCAGAGAAAAATAAAAAACTCATTCTGGAATCATATGATCAGAAAAGGCCAGTTGTTTGTTGAAGCCCCAAAATTGAAGCTCGAAATCTCTTCCTTTTTGTCAGACATTGCCAAGAAAAAAGACCAACACTTTGTTGGAACAGAAAATTATGTGGGGACTGCTATCGCTGCCCTAGGGGATGTCGTTTCATCCTTCCTTGACCCTCCAGATGAAGGGTTAGATGAAAGTGCCATAGTAGACTCTACCAGCCACGCAGGCCCGATACTAGTCGACGTTTTTCACCAACAAACTATGGCTAGAAAATCGTTCATAACGCCACAGATGAGTAAAAGCATCAAACCAGTAGCTGATATAATTTTCTCTGATGAATGGCTTTATGGAGACAATCTCAAGGACAAGCTGAAGGAGATGGAAAAAGTATGTTTAGAAATGAAGGATAAAGGCCCACAGAAACCAACCCCCAAACAGCAGTACGAGGGAAACTCGAAGTACCCACCTGCGAAGAGCCGTCAGGTGGGGCAACAACTTCAACAAAAACGGCCACTTTTCAACCCCGAGACGAAGATACAGACGGCTTATTCGAACTCATCGAGGACACATTCGGGGACAACGAACCAGTCATCATCAAGGAAATAGCACAAGTAGAGACTATTGCTGGGCGCCTACGTCATTTCCGAGAGTCATGGAAACATATCACCTCTGATGAATACATATTAAGCTACTTGTGTAGATACAAAATCCTTTTCACAAGACCACCAAAACAAGTAATTCCTCCAAAGGTAAGAATTCTATCCTCTGAAGAATCAATGAACATTCAAAAAGAGATAGATAAATTATTAAGCGAAGGTGCTATAGAGAGATGTGTCACTTGTGACGACCAATTTATCTCTTCTATCTTCCTCATCCCAAAACCTGATGGCTCAAATAGATTTATTATTAATCTTAAAGCTTTAAATAAATTTATTAATCCCACACACTTCAAACTAGAGGACATCAGACCTGCACTCAGTTTAATATCCCCTGGAGATTTCATGGCTTCACTAGACTTAAAAGATGCCTCTTATCTAGTTCCCATGGATGAAGGTCACAAAAAATGCCTAAGATTTAGATTCAAAGGAGAATTATTCCAATTCTTGTGCCTCCCATTCGGTCTATGTACGAGTCCATATGTATTTACAAAACTAATGAAATCTGTAGTAAATACACTCAGACTACAAGGAATGTTACTAGTTTTATACTTGGACGATGTTTTATTTATTAATAAATCAAAAACCTTAAGTGAGGAAAATATTCAAAAAGCCAGTAACCTTCTCGAGAACCTGGGGTTTATCATAAACTTACAAAAAACTCCCTTACTGCAGATAGAAGATGCAAATATCTAGGTTTCATCATAGATTCATCACGATTTTCTTTAAATTTGACAGATAAAAAGAAAAATCAAATAGTGGAATTTACAGAGTATTTTGAAGTAGGCAAAGCCTATAAAATTAAAAAATTTGCAAAATTCTTAGGTGTTCTAACATCAGAATGTCCAGCAGTAGCTTATGGATTCACCCATTGTAAGAGATTAGAAGGACAAAAATTAGTAGCACTAAAGTTCAATGGTGGTAATTATGACGGGAAATTAGTTATCAATACTCCCATGAAGGAAAACCTCCAGTGGTGGAAGAGAAGTGCACAATGGGCTCGAATCCTATAAAAACTCAGATTTTTGCTTTAGAAATTTTTTCAGATGCTTCCCTATCAGGCTGGGGTTGTTACAGTAATGGTCAAAGTGCTCATGGGTTTTAGAATGAGAAAGAATAAAGATGTCATATTAATTATTTCGAACTATTAGCAGCATTTTTCGCTCTACAATGTTTCGCTTCTGAATTATCTCAGTGTGAAATTCTATTACGTTTAGACAACACAACAACCATAGCGTATGTGAACAGAGCTGCATGTATCCAATATCTCCACCTCTCTGAACTCTCGAGAAATATTTGGGAATGGTGTGAAGGGAGAAAAATATGGTTAAGAGCATCATAGATTCCTTCATCAGAAAATGTTGAGGCAGATAAGGCTTCAAGGAATATAAATACATACTCGGAATAGGAACTCTCCCCACCCGCATTTCAACAGATTGAGAATCAATTTGGTCCTCTATGCGTAGATTTATTCGCATCTAGGATAAATAACAAATGCAAAAGATTTTATTCGAAATTTCCGGACCCAGAAGCCTAGTCTGTAGATGCATTCACAGTATGCTGGAAGAATGAGATGTTATACACCTTTCCTTTTATTCGCGATTATTTTACGAACACTGAGAAAAGTAATTAATGATAAAACCACTGGTGTAGTAGTGGTACCAATGTGGACGACACAACCGTGATACCCACTGTTCACATCCCCTCTTGTCGAGCCTCCAATTATTTTCTAACCGAATAATTCTCTGTTAATAGCGCCTTACAGAGAAGAGAGTCACCCGCTAGCGTCCCACATTTCCCTAGTGGCAGGGAAACTATTAGGAAAGCCTATATGAATGAAGGTATAAAAGAAGACTCTGCAGAAGTTATGGTCAATTCTATTGCAAAATCAACCTTTAGGTTGTTGTCGTGTAAACCCGTTTTTCGACAGATTTTTTTAAAATTTTTGCTATAGATAGCTCTGAAACTTCCCTCCAAAATGAGCACAACAAAAAACCAATCCTCACTTGCTGAGCTGAGATACGATTTTTTGAATTAACATGGGTTCAAATGCATTTCACCGTTTTTATTTAAAAAAAAAAAAACAACTCGACACTTTTCGATGGAATTAACACAGAACGTAGACATAGTGACCACCAATATACTGAAAAAAAAAGCAAGTGATCGTCAGATTCGTAGTAGAGCAATAAATTTTCAAAGTAGCATTATTTCTCCCAGTGGGCGAAGCGCATGGGTTTGTTGTGCGCGACGCGACAACAACGGTTTTTGCTCGAGTGGCGCGAATCTATTTGGAATTGTCAATGACGAATCAAAGGGACGATTCATAAATAAAATAAATACATTGAGTGAGAAAGAGAGAGACATGAAAACAGAGACACGCTGCGCGCGGTTGCCACAATCGGCACCATTTAGCGTTAGCTGTGTGTACATGTATCCATGCATGGCAGATTCTTGTGTGCGTGAGTCGAGTGGAACTGTACACCCGCAAAAGTTTATATTCTAACTCGTATTCTCCGCTTAGCGGAAGATCAACCCAGAGCGTAGTAAATTTTAAGCCTGACTCTCTCGTGACAACAACCTTAAAGCAATATGAAAGCCACCTTAGGCACTGGTGGAATTATGCATATTCTAGAGAACTGAATCTCTTTAATTAAAAAACATCAGACATTATTAGTTTCTTAAATGACCGTTTCAAAGAAGGCGCAAGTTATGGCACCTTGAATGCGGCCCGTTCGACAAGCTCACTAATCTCAGCTTATGACATAAATGAAGATAATTTAATTGCTAGATTCCCAAAAGGTGTATTTAAAGAAAAACCATCCAAACCAAGATATTCTACAACCTGGGATGTAACACCAGTTCTAAAATATCTTGAGAAACTCAATCCACTGAAAGAATTAAAATTGAGCGATGCCGTAGAAAAAGTAGCCACTTCAAGAGGCTATTTTATTGGCTTTTATTGGCTTTATCTACTGGTCACAGAATCCAAACTCTTGAGCATATTAATATAGACAATATAGAGAAATCTGATACACTCTTGAGCACTAAAATTGCAGAATTAATTAAGACTTCAAAACCAGGGACAGTCCAACCAAAACTGATCCTCCTCTTTTTCAATGAGCGACCAGGACTGTGTGTAGCATCAATAGTCCTAGAATATGTAGAATATACCAAAGACTTAAGGGGTAATACAAAAAATCTTCTTATTACTACAAGGAAGCCTTAGGTGCAGTCACCTCCTAAACCATAAGTCATTGGATCAAAGCGTTATTAACTAAAGCAGGTATCGATACGAATCGTTTTACAGCATATAGTACTAGACATGCCGCTATTTCTACTGCGCACAACAGGGGAGCAGATATCTCGATAATTAGACATGTAGCCGGATGGATTACAAATTCCCAAATGTTTCTCAAAGTGTATAATAGACCCATTGAAGGTCCAAACGGGGAATTTGTACGCGCGATTATTCAGAGAATAAGATTCAAAACTATTAAAAATTATTACTTGATATAAATGGTAAAAAAAAAAAAACAAATAAACGATGAATTATCATAGTCGCTAAAAAACTACAATACTCGCATTGAGAACGAGACCTACAATATAATTGTACGAAATTATATGAAACGTCTCGTTCGAAGATGATAGTCCCAATCAAATAATTACCCGAGTAGAAATTAGTTCAGGTCTACTTGAAGTCCGACCAGAACTTGATTCGGTTTCAGTCCGGTTCGCTTGATCAGGTAAGATCTGATCAGAACCTGACCAAGGTTTGATCCAACATTTCGGATTCCAAAAACTACAAGTGAATTTAGATCAAATTCTGATCAGACAGGCCTGATCAGATGACACCTGACGTGAACCGGATCAAGTTTTGATCCAGTAGGTTGAATCCTATAAACTGTAAGAGAATTGAGAACAAGTTCTGATCAGGCACTGCTGATAAGATGACACCTGATGAAAACTTGAGCAAGTTTCGATTCAGTATATTGGATCCTATAAACTACAAGTGACTTTACATCAAATTCTGGTCAAAAATGCCTGATCAGATGACATTTGATGAAATCTTGACCAAGTTTTGACCCAGCAAGTCCGATAAACATAATATCACTGAGATATCAAGCTGCCTCAACTCAATTTGTTCTCCTTCCGATTCAATTCACTTGATTTTCAATTGAATGGCTCGATCAAAAAGAATCACAAAGTTCAGATCCGATCCATCTGATATTCATTTGATCTACCCTTTTCTGACAATCCATTTTTTTCTAGCAATTGTTAATCTATTGACGAAACATCTTTATTCAAATATATAGGAAGCAAAGGAAATATATATAGTAAAGTATCAAACATAAGAGCGCATTATCTTGAGTTTAAAAAAATCATCCAACTTGCATCTGTTCATTAGTGTTGTTATTATTATAATTATCTTTTAATAATGAAATAAAATTTGAACCAAATATGTTGTCTCGCTCAGAATGTACATGCAATAATTTTTAAGTCATCAAATTGCCCCCTTACAGATTGTGTAAGTAAAAAGAATCTACTCAACAACAACAGTGCGGTAGTCTAGATTCGCGGTTGTGCGCTGCTGTGGACAGCACGTGTTTACCACCTGCTCCTATACAGCAAACTAACCTACTTTTTCTCCCAGTATTTCCAAAGTATTATAATTCTTTTTCTGTTGTTCATTAAGTGAGTGTAGTTAACTGAAGGTGTCCCCTCAACTAAAAAATACCCTTCTGAACGCTAACAAGCGAAAAATCAAGATGAGTACTACTCAATCCAACAAAAAAAGAAGTAATACTTCAGGATCTCAACCCACTCCGACTGTTTCGCCACGTGCTTCAATGAGGAAAGGACAAGAAGATGAAACTACTGAGTTGATCTCTAAGGATCATACCCATCATCTAAGGATACATACCCATCATGGTGGAATCTAAAAATTTAGAAGTAAAAGACTTAATCAACCTAATAAAAAACAATGCTGGCAACCAAGATTTCAGAATCATATACCAGGGTTCGACTTCGTCTATCCAACTCAAATCGAAGGCTGACCATGCTAAGATGGTGAAAACTTTCCTAGATGCCAATCTTAAGTTCTATACTTACCGATTCAAGCAAGATAGACTCAAGAAATTTATCATAAAATGATTTGCTACATCGTTCTCAGAGGAGGACACAAAGGAGGACCTTAAATCTCAGGGAGTTGATGTAATTGCAGTGAGACAGTTCGTCAAAAAACAAAAGAGCCGTTCTCATCCATAAAACTACCAATATACTCAGTTACAGTGTCACCAGAATCGTCACTTACCAGCTTCTCCAATATAAAAACTATTTTATATCATACCTTCCTAATTGAGAAATTCAAATCTAATGCTCAGCCAACCCAGTGCTTTAAATGCCAGTCCTTTGATCACGCGAGTACACACTGCAGTCGCAGCCCAAAGTGTGTAAAGTGTGGAGAAATCCATGATGTTAAAAGCTGCACCAATGAAACCGTCAAATGCACCAACTGTGGGGGAAATCATGTGGCCAGCTTTAGAAAGTGCTTATCCCGCATTAAGTACATGGAGAACTCCACCATGAGGAGAGAGAATGGAGGAGCATAGTCATCGGCTCCCCCACTATCAGCTAAAAATAGTCATCTGGGCTCAATAACCTCATCAAAGTCGTATGCACATGCAGTCATTAACCAACCATCCTCAAGCAACCTGAAGGAAGCAACCCCATCACCCATATCACTCCAGCTTAATCAGAAGGAGAAGCCATTCCACACAACACAGGAAACTGTTCTGGACTCTCCAACACAAGCCAATCTGGCTCGCCAGCAGCTACTCCACCATCCTCGCCGAACATCGAAAACCAGAAGCAGAGACCAGGAACATTTTCTTTCTCCAGTCGCTAATGATCTAAGTGACATAAAACTCTGCATAGAGAACGCTATTGTTAGAGAATTATTACAATTAAGCATATTCCATTTAATTGAAAAACTAAAGGAAATGATAAAATTATTAAAATCCGCTGAGTCGCCTATAGATCGTCTTACGATCGTAGCCTCGTACTCAGACATTTTTTACGTTAAT